CGTCCGGCAGATATCAGCAAGCAACCGATAGGTTCGTGAGGCTTTACTGTTGACGTTCATGCCCCGCAGAGGTCGCTCGAACACTATGGCGCGGAAATAAAGGTAGGCCCGATACTTTCCGGACAGACCTCGTAAAACATTTTTATTTAATTATGTGCATATTTACTTTCCTACTGAAAAAAATCATGTAATAACGTTACATGATGAAATCATGTAATTAAAACATGTAAATCACGTAGCGAATTGTTCCAAATCAGTAAGTGATTTTTTTAAATGACTTAATTTGAAAAATCACATGATAGTAGAAATAATTTTATCCATCATGTGATTTTAAAGTTGTCAAATTTTAAAGAATTCAATAATAGAAATAGAAAAAAAAACATATAACCATGTGACTTTTTAAATTACATAATACCAAAACTCACGGACTGATTTGGAACAATTTGTTACATGACCTACGTGTTTTAATTACATGATTTCGTCATGCAACTGTGTAACGCGATTTTTTCAATAGGTTTACGCTGTTCTGCAAGATGTAAATATGTAACGCGATAGTTTTTCAAGAATTTTTCCATATACACTATTGTTTTCAGCTACACAATAAAGTTGTTTGAAACTCTAAAGCAACATTATAAAGATCAAGTTAGCTCACGATCTGTTTTACAGACAGGTGTGGCGGTTTACACTGCACCCCAATTTTTAATTAAAAATCGTATTATGAAGAAATTGAGATAAAATAATAATATAAATAAAACTAATTTAGGAAATTACAAGCATTTAAAATGACGTAATATTATCAATAATATAGTGACAATTATTTAAGCTACGCAATTTACAAAAGAAAATCGTAAGAATTTTATTTTCGTATTCGTAGAATTCGTATTTATCTGATTTGATGTAGAAACAAGTACACGAAATAGACACACAAATACACGAATAAGAGTTTGTACTTCTTTAATTAGCTAAAAAGATAATTATTTTATTAGTATTAATAAAGTTCAGCAGTTAGTTTCTGAGAAATAAGGAGGTATCATTTTAGGAAACCTATGTCAGTATCGGTGACTTTTCTCAACTATTTAATATAGGATTAATATAAGATTAAGTATAATCTGTGATTGGCTTATGACATCTTACAATATCATAAGAGAATCACTATCATAATCGCAGAACTATAGCACAAAAGTTTATAAAATATTTTGTTGGTTTTTTATTAAAAAATGTTTTCTTATTATATATATTGCTATATTCAAGATGTCGACGTATTCAAATGATGCAGTGCATGGTGGGGCTCCGTCGAAAAGTTGTCGCGGGGAGGACGTTTCGTTTTCCACTACAAACCCGCTAACTTCTCCCTTTATAAACCAGTCTTCTCCCGGTCGTCGAATTTCTGACCAATATTAATCTGCATTATACAAATCAAATGGAGAATATTTTCTAATAAAACTCCAAACATTTCACTAACGTTTGCACGGACGAAGTTAATAAACAACGCGTTTTTAGTATACGATTCATCGGGAAAAACGTCTTCTTTATCTCGACAAAGAAAATAATTCTAGACCTGTGCATTAATGAAATTCTTTACATGAGCAAAAAAATTCTTTACACTTCACTCTATTGTATTTCTGAAATTGATCACTTCATAGTCGGTATCGACCACAGTTTGTATTAACGGGGAAGTAAAAGAGATTGTAATTTTTGGACTCAAAAACATGCATTATATCGCGTTTATTTCGTATGTCTGCCATTTCGTCACGTTATTTTGTGTTTCTGCACAATTTCACGGTTCTAACGAGAACAATATTATTCATTTTTCACCCGCCTACGCCATCGCCTCGAGAGCTAGTCTTCTCGGTTCGGCAACATGTGCAACGGAATTACGAGATTTCCTAGACGCTGTTGATCAACGGATTCTGTGGGGTTTAAAAAGTAAGTAAAATTCTTAATCATGATTAATTTTTGATATTTATTGGATCCAAAACTAAATGCAAAATTAAGAAAGTTAATCACATGTACAGTCTCGCATTTACTTCATGTTGAGTTGTTTCATTGTATCATTAGAGAATTAACTAAACTCCGAAACTGAATCGATCTTGTGCTTAATTTTATCTATGTTTATAAAAATAATAAATTAGGTGTGTGTTGATATAAATAAAAAAAATAAATCAGGAGATATATATATATATATATATATACCTTTTTTAAAGGCTTGTAATTTATTTAATTTATAACCTAAATTTCTAGTTTTACGTCGAATTTATGATAAATATATTTAAATTTTATCGCCAAAAGTTAGCAGTTGATAATAGCTATATTTTGTTGTATGTGAAATTTTTTATCAAAAGTGCAGATTTTGATTATTCAAAAAAAAAAAGATTCCTAATATGAGATATAATGGTTTTCTTGTGTGAGGTAGTATCTCATAACGGGAAACTAAGGAAAAAATAAAGATAAGTTTTTTATACACGCTTTTGTTATATTATATACAAGTAGGAACAAAAAATTTAAATGTTATACATAATAATTATATAATTTTTCGATGTGTGTAGGGTAAACTCGGGTATGATGGCCATAGTTTCTTAAAATGCAAAAAACATACATTTATTCTTGTTACTTTTTTTTAACAATATTTGAGATATTACTTTCACTGAAGCTTAAAGTAACAAATACTATCGAAATTAAAGAGAAAATACTTAACAGAACTTTAATTTTATCAAAATATTACAAAGCATGTATTGGCCATCTTATCTGATTTTTAGGGAAAAGATGGCCATGACATTAAGAAAGATAGCCATAGTATTTATTAATAAACAGTGAAAATAAAATTATTAATTATAGGTAACATTGCAATTTACGTACCTTTATTGTGTATGTAATGTTGATTATGGCAGCTTAACTGTAATTTATTAGACATTATAACAGTTTTTAGCAGACACGTGCAGAACTTTGCAGATAGTCGAAAGAAAAAATATTAGATAATATTTATAATATTGTTATTTTGAACAGGAGTGTACTCATATGAACTACTGTAAATATTGATTATCTTTAAGAATGACTGTAAAAATGCACTATTTATCAATTATTGGAGAAATTATGACCTATGGCCATCTTTTCCGTATGGCCATAATACCCTAGTTTACCCTATGAGAATATATGTATATGTGTGTATGTGAGTAATCTTAAAAATAGAATCGTCATTTTTAACATTTCGTTCGACAGTATGCTTTGAGACATTGAATTGTTTAGATGCTCTCATATTAGCTAGGAATATCTTGAGTATCTCATATTACGACTTTCATGCCTTGCGGTTTCACGATCACCATATCTAATCTTTACAGTTAAACAAATCATTATATCACATATTTTCATATGAATACGATCTTACTCTATCACTGTATGCAGATTTTATTACGAATATTTATTTTTGTATAATAAAACAAGCTTTAACAGACTAACCTCAATAAAATTTGACAACATTCAATTTCATAAATCTTTTTTTGCAACGACTACACGCATCATCTAATAATGAATTTTCTACTAAACAGATTTCACGCTAAGAATACAAAGTTCATGATTGAATGAAACACATGTGCTTGTTAGTTCAGCAGAAACCCCGCTATCTCATATTAGGAACCTATCCCATAATAGGCAACTTAACCCTACTACGTACGTAATCCCCAGAAACGCGCGCCGAAATGATTTTTCAAAATCAATAATTTGAAAATCCTGTATAATTATACATGTTTATAAATATTTATGCATATTTATGTATGTTTATTTACATTTGTTTTATGTTGTTCACTGAATATTAAATAAGGATAAATGATGTAACATGCGCATGATCGTGTATGAAATGGATGCACCTATGGACAATCATTCGTATGTCCGTCCCATAAAAATTTTTTATGTATGAATATGTATAAATATGTATAAATATGTATAAACGTACATAACACGCATAAATATTTATAAACATGTATAATTATACATAGTGTTTTCAAATTCGCGCCCGTCAAGTACAAGACGTCATATTTAATGCTAAAAGAAACAATTTTTTCTTTTTGCAAAATTACGTCTGACAAGTAGTTTTTGCAGGAGAGCAGGTTGAAGTCGACAAAAAAGCGCAAAAATTATTTATCGGACGCAATTTCGTTAAAGGAAAAATTCACTGAATATTAAACAACGATATATAATGCATCATGTACATCATGCGTGAAACGGAATGCATCCTATTTTCCCACGTCCATGGACGTGCTGATGTGATTTGGATTTAAAATGAACGTTCTTGGGATATCCAGTGCTATCTGAATAAGTAAGAACTGCACTTACTATCTAAATAGAAATCAAATGTCTCAGACAATCATGCACGATTGTAAAACAAAAACTTTTATCATAGATGTGTTTGCAACGAGATGTTACAGCAGACTGAGCGGCAGTAGCTGCTGCATGCTCAGACATAAGACTCTAGATATATCAAAGTAGTGCATTTCTTTTATCTGAGCCGAAATGCCGACAACTTTCTTGGCTATTTTGACCAGCATTTGTGACCTAGTTCAATAAGCGCTTAGTATTACGTCTCTAGACCAATAAACGCTTAGTATTATTGGTATCGGGTATATGGTTAGTAAATCAAAAATGGAGGACCTGTGTGCTACTTTGGTTTATCTAGAGCTTACTCAGATTTGTTTACGCATGTCTCACGTATTTTGTTTAATGCAGCCTCAATTTTTCTACTTACACCTATAACCTACTGACCCCGCCCTGCCGCAAATTTCAAAGATTAAATTTTGCACTTATCACAAATGGTATAGAGTAAATAGTCCTTTCAGTATTAAGGAACCTAGAACGGATACTTGCAATTTTTGTAATGATTGTGCAAAAAATTACAAGTAAATGATGACATTTTGTGTAAAAATGAATATACAGACATAAAACTGATGTAAAAGTATATCAATAATAAAAAATAAAATTTTGAAATTATACAAAATAAATGAGAGCAATGATCATTCTATTCTCGTTACAGAATTTGATTTTGCGCAGAACTTGTCATTACCAAAACTCAGTGTAACCTCACTATTTTATAAACACCTTTTGTGGATGTACATTTTTAATGTTCATTGTCATAACGATTTAAATAGTTCGTTCTACTGGATGCTTGAAAATCAAGCAGGAAAAACGGTAAACTCTGTAGTTTCGTTTGATTTTCTAAAAAATTATTTAAAAAATTATAAATTTGGAAAATTTCTTTTTTTTCGGACATGTGTGGTGGACAAAACAAAAATCATATAATGGTTAAGTTTTGTTGCCGGCTTGCAAAAATTTATAATATTTCCATTGAACACATTTTCCCTGTACGCGGCCATTCTTTCAACCAATATGATCGCAACTTCGGTCTTTATGAAAGGATTAAGAAAGGCAAAGAAACTGTATACACTGTTGATGATTATCTATCGATGCTGCGTACTTGTCGTAAATATCCAATGCCTTTTCATGTCGTTGATGGCTCGAATTTAGAGAAAGACTGGAGTTTGATTTTAACAACTTATACTCTCGTGTGCCATATGCAAAGAAAACGAAAATTGCTATACAAAAATATGCTCGCCTCTTATATCTGCCCGATGGGACGATTGAGTGTTTCAACTCGTATGAAAAAATAAATAAAGAAACGTATTCTCTATTTACAGTCTTTGATAAAGATCTTTCTCGTGTACCTAAAAAATTAAAAGCGCCTGTTTCTTCAGGTATGGCGATTAAAAAAATCAATGATTTAAAATTGTTAATGAGATTTTTACCAGAGACTGAACAAAATGGTATGACAATAATGTGTTTGCTGTACAACATGCTAAAAAATCTTATCAAAGCTCATCAGATCATGATTGAATACATTATTCTAATTTATTTTGTACAAGTGTAAAAGTAAAGTGTATTCCATATTCATTTTGTATTTCTTCTACAAGAGTATGAAGATAAAAAACGTTTATGTAGCTCATAGTCTTTTCTTTCTATCGATTTCTACAATACTATGATCAATATTCGGAAAAGGGGACTAAATGCATTTTTTAAATTGCAAATAACTTTTTTAATATTAATCATAATATAGAAATATTATACATGTAACTTCTCAAAGACATTACATAAATGTACAATTAATACTGTTCCCATTTCTTGCATAATAAAAAAATAGCAAGTTATTTTAATTTTTACCAAAATCAAGATTTTGTAATTAGGCCTTTATTCCGTCCATCCCTTCAATTGTAACATATAGCTATATGTACAAAGACCATACATCAACGTCGTGCATCGGACAAACAAACAATATCACACGTACGATCACTCTCCACGCGCAACCGATTCTCGCGTAAATATGCAGATATCATTTAGAAATGAATTTCGTCAAAAGATCAGTTTGAATGATTTAAATTTTCTGTTTACATGACATTCTGTTATTGTTCATTTTTTACAAAATAAAATAGATGTTGATATATAATTTATTCAATGTTATTCCAATGTTGCAGCAACATTAACAATCAGTGTGGAAAAATCAATAAAAATTCAATTTGTAGTCCAATTTCTTCAATATTGTTCCAACGTTGTAGCAACATTAACAATCATTGTTGAAGAATCAATATAGATACAACACTGATAAAACATTGGTACTTCAACATTCAACATTGCAATATCTCAGCAACATTCTTTCAACGTTCTATGCTGTATGAGTATTAATACATCTCATGAGGTTGCGTATTGTGTATATCTGTAATTTGGAGAACGTTACAGCTAAGAGTACACACTCTCTTGTGTACACAATTAATCAAATAGATATATTCCTATATGTACATCGAGTTTTGAATACTTTTTAACAATATCGTTTATATTAAGAAGCAATCTGAGTGAAAGTTAGTAATAAGTCGCGAAACAGAGCGATTAAAAATTATCTTTTGTAGTATTACTTAGTCACAAAAATATTTCATACTTGTTATTACAAATTATTTTTTTTATATTTCTCCAAATTTTACTTGTAAAGTGCGTAATAATAATGAACAAAATAATGTTAAAATTATATAATTATGTTTTGTAATAATCATTGAAACTACAGTAGTGAATCAAATCGAGACAATGTAAAATTAATATAACTAAAGAACATCTAAATACGAGATATCTAACAGCATTTTCGATTCAAGCGAGTTTACACTGATTTGGGTTGTGTAATATTTTCTTATTGGTTGACGTTACACGTTAGGAGAGCATACAATGTCATTAATCCAACCCAGGTTGGTGCAAACCCGCTCGGGCCGAATACGCTATAAGACTTGTCTTTTGTAATTAATAGTGATCTTGCCTTTAGCAATTAATAAAAGACTCAGTGATTAAGTAGCAATGAATAAAAAACACTACGTACTAGAATGTTGTTACATAAATATAATAATAATAGTGTATTTTTGTCTTCAAGCATTGGATTCTAGTGGGGGACTCAAATCAGGTTTCCTTTATGGAAATAATTTTTGGCTTGGCAGTCGTAGTCAGTGCCTCGATATTATGAACAGGACTCCCTTCGAGATCGCAAAACGACACATATTAAATAACACGCGATACCGCGATCCGCAGAATGAGTTCCCACCTTTCCAACTGAATTATTTCGTTGCTTATATCAGACACAACAGTACTCTTCAGTATCACATCAATATATTCAATGAAGTAAGTTATTCCTTCTTGAGATTATCTAGAGTATGCCATTTAAAAAAAATGATTATTTTGTAAAAAAATATCAAAACAATATGTTTTTCGCATTAGAAGAGAATTTGGTTAAATTTTCAGATATCTATACTTAATGCTTTCCAAGAAATCGATTTTTTCTTTAACAAACCACCTTTTTTCGACTTCAATTTGTTAAAAATTATTACATAAAAAATTGTGTTAAAAAACATATGAGAATATATTAAATGACTATTTAAATATCTGAAAAACCAAACTTCACAATTACTTTTGCGAAATTGTGAGATTTTCAAGGCAGAATCGTATAAAAAAGAAGTGGGAAGTATACTTCCCGCTGACAGTGAAAGAATGGAAACCCTCATTTTTTATTGCATATTATTAGCTTATCTCGAAAGCTTTTCAAAACACTATAACAAAATATTTTTTCATTCAATACTTTTTTAGTTCTATGACTTGAAAGTTACTGTCCCGTCGGCATTGGTACCTATTATCTAAGATGTCTAACTGATGTAAAACCTTTTAAATGTTGTTCATGACTTTGATAACATTTGTAAAGGTCGTAGCCTTTTAAAGTTGATACTTTTATTTTTATTTTTAGTGTAAATAATTCTTTTTAAACTTTACAACTTTTGTCTGAAGTATTTTTTTTATAAAACTTATATTTTTCGAGATATTCAGGGATTCCGGTATTTTTTATAAACGCTGTATATAGAAGATTTTATATATATATTTTAGGACCTGATTACGCTCGGCCTCTGTTTGCCCGCATCCTGTTCCATGAATAATATAAGTTTCATTCTAGAAGGAATATTTAGAGATAGAGTTCTTTTAATCAATGATCTCTATTCCATGAATCTCAGCCTGATCCAAGTAAAAAACTTAAAGAATGATCACCAATGGCTATTAAGTGGTGCGATACCTTTCGTATGGTATGTCGAAAAACATAAAGACAAAAAAATGAACTTTACAAATAAAATAATACATTAAATTTTTATGTCTCTTTCGAGAGTTTGAGAAAGCGATGGGAGAGATATCTGCATATATTAATTTTATCATTTCAGTATTGTTTTAGTGCTTACCTTTGCCATGATGATAAGCGGTACAATGTACGATATATTCATATATCAAACACATTTAAAGACAAAGACTAAAACTGTCGTTAGTAAGTATATATTTAACTAATTGTAAGACTTTCTGAGCTACTTCGGTAATTATTATTTGTCATACTGCTTTTGTTATATTCCTTGTATTTAAAAAAAAAGACAGGCTCACGTTTTACACACTAATACAATTTTATTAAATTGGAATCATTATTTTAATAAAATTCCGAAATGCAAAAAGATATTTTTTCTCTCATATAATATTATTTATTTCTATAGGGCAATATCTTTTTTTTTTCATTTATATGCTTGCTAATAGTTTTCTTGTATTTGACGGCAAACATCTTTCGCAATTTTTAATGAATACAAATTCTGAATTGTGATTCAGATGAAGAAAACACGGTCGAGGAGCTGCAAATGTCCGATTTGTCGTCTTCGTGTGAGAAAAATAGAATCGGGAACGTATTAATGTGTTTCTCCGTTTACACAAGTACAAAGAAAATATTTAACACAAAATTGGACACCGAAGCAATAGCCGTCATTCACGGCATAAAATCTCTGACCATGCTTTGGATAATTACATGTCACACCGCATATTACGCGATGGACTCTTTCGGTAAGTATATACTGACATAAATTTGCAGAACTGACAAGGGAACGGTCGGAACTGTCCCTCACCGATTTCAATGCGCTTTGGATATGTTGTAAAGCATCAAAAAATATTCGACCCATTTTTTTTATAGCGGCTTATCTCAAGGTTTAGTGGGTGAAACACCCCCACGAAGAAAATAGATTTTTTCGTTTTTAGCGAATATCTTCGAAACTATGCCACGTATGAAAAAATGTTTTATACAAAAGTTTTACAGTATTTTATGCTCTATATAATAGTGTATTCATTTATTTTTTAAATCAAATTTTTTAATTAACCCCTACCCCCATTTATCAGGGTTGCAAAATTAAAAAACTTTTTAAGAACAAAAATTAAAGAGCATCGGATGCCGAATCCATTCATGTATAATAATGTTATGGTTCCACGATTCAATTTTTCAGAAAACAAAATGATAATCGTGTTAAGACGCC